CTTGTTACTTTAACTAATACCTCATCCATAACACGTTCAAAACAATCATACATAGCTGAAGGAGGTCTGTATACACCTACTACTATGAAACCTTTTAGTTCTAAACAGGCTATTTCTGTAGTTCGCTCAACTGATAAACTAACAACGTCATGGCGCTCTTTAAACTTAAGTTTCTTATTAATGAGTATCATAGTGCCACCATGTATTGCTGTACTTCTGCTAAATGAGCTGCCTACCTGGTTATGGTCAAAATTGAACATAAACTGATCCCCTTCTAGCCAGTGGTCTTCATGAGGTTTGATAAGTTAATATTGATGTTATTGTTATGTTTTTTAAACTATGCTTTGCTTATGAGATCAATCAGAGAACATATATCTTCAGGACCTCTCCAGACAAGCTCGGCCTATACAAGTACTGAATGAGGCTTAAAAAGTGTCTGACTTTATGGAAGTCACATGTTTAAGTCAGTAATGTTCGTAAACCCTTTCATAAGTATTTTCTCATCCAAAGTGGCATATGAGGAACCATCTAAAATATGCTTTAATTATAGTATTGTTCCTTGCGATGTAAGATATTTGCGCAGCATTCATAACTTTTAGCAAAGTCTGGTAGATCTTTTGGTAAATTTTTTGTTAAGTCACTAGTCAATCTGTTTGAAACTCGTGGTAATGCAACCTTTCTACTAATGACCAGTTTTGGAATAAAGTAGCAATATCTGTCTTTTTCCAAAATATGTTCAGACGGTAAGGCCGAAATTATACCTATAAATTGCTATAGGTACTAAATTTTACTGGCTAACTGAATCTTTTGATTTGTGTAATTTGATTAGAGTAATGCTTTAACTATGCACTACAGCGAAGCAACTACATTCTTTTAGTAAATTAACCTCTTTCAAATTTTTCTTTTAATAGCTTAAAACTGCATTTTCTCGTGGTTTGCTTCTAATGACAATCCCTAAATAATAAGTTATAGTTAAAGTTTTAATAATCCATAAAAATAATAATTAAGTAGTATCTATTAATATAAAATTAGCCCTCTAAGTACGGGTATTTATGATTATACTTTCCTAATTGAATTTAAATTTGCGCCTCTCTGCGGGACGTGCCGCGGATCGTGGGGATCTGATATGGGTGTCTTTGATATTTAATGTCACATTAAAACTTTCTAATTCAATTTTGGAACACACAGCGAGAATTCCGAAAAAATGCCCTGTAAGAAAAAAAAGTTACGGAGACTGTCCACGTGTTGGTGGGTTACTGTAAACATGAAATGACAATAGCTGCAAAATGTACTAAAAAGTTAACATGTCAATGGAAGATTCCGTGTTGCACAACAATGCGCTTTTCTTTGCGCATTGTCATGCGTATAATTTTATTAAAGGTGTGCCTCCGTAGAGGATTGATAGGTATAATCCCGTATTTACGTTTTAATGTAGGTCGGATTTGTGGGTTTTGGCAGTAATGTAAAATAATATGTTATTTAAAATAAATAGGAATCGAGCTATTTTAATATTTGCAAGTAAGAAATGATAGAAGACAGATAAACTTTAGTAGAATAATACTAATAATAAGAAACTTTTTCAAATCATCATTATAAGGTTACATAAATATTACATTGACTATCATTGTATATATAAATTATCTGTCTATATTTTTCAAAATTTATAATTTTGTGACGGCAACATCCGCTGTTGATGCACATCCGGAAAGGTGTCACCTCAAATAAAAGTTTAAACATAATTCGTCATATTATTTATATAAAAATCAGTGCAAGTTTGGCAGATGCGAAAGGATTGCACACATGCTCGCAAGGTGCGCTTTCTACACATTATGGCTTGTGCCAAACACTTCTTTCGACATTCATTTATTTCTTATAATATTAGATCAATCATGTTTTGATACACATCTTTCAAAATTGTAATCTTACACCATTTCGTATATGTAATAAATACCATTTTGTATTTAACTATTAAACTACAAAAACCATAGTTAAAATATGTCAATTTACTGTGTGTAATATTAAAATACATTAAATTGCAAAACAAGTACCTAATTTATATGCATTCTAAGAAGTCAATTGTAAGTTATCGTTACGGCGTCGTTTTGCAATAATCTCAACACTGCTATATAAATGATACAATATTTAAATATGCCTTATAAAAAGCTGCAAATATATTCAAATTTGCAGACGTGTGGTTATTATTACATTGGCTTTACCTTTGAATTCAGATTCAGTGGAGTCCTTAAAGCGTAGCGCGGTACCTTTTAAAGCAACCCACAGTTCCAGTTTAGTAATTAAACTTACAACTTTATCGATCAAAGACTTTCCAATACACGATGGACCACCGGGCATATCTGTATCGTCTGGTTTCAACGGTATATAAATATTAGCTAGACTCTGTCCACGTAATGGAACTGTCATTCGATCGCTTCTTGCCTGCCAATAACCCTTTGAATGAGTTTATTCTTCGTGTGTTGCGAACATAGTTGTATCTACACTTTCCTTGGTGGACGAATAAGGATAACAGCTCAGTCCTTTTACAAGTTAAACAAGACTTACTTTTTGTTCATCCAGGAGACAGCCGTTTCTACAGTTTAATCTTATCTCCAGATGAAGGGATAAACTAGTACGCGAGTTAGTTGTCGAATATTAGTTCAAGAGGATTCAAGACGCTCAATCAAAATGTATTTCCATTGCAATTTTCACAATGGGTTCTTTTAAGCTCATTGTTAGTTTCGTTTAAAAATCTTGAAATATGAATGCTACAAAGCCCGTAATTATCGGTTATGGTTCCGTTTACTTATTCAGAGTTTATTGTATTCAGAAGATGTCTCTATTTTGCGATTTTCTAAGGTGTGGGCTGGCTAAATGTTATTTGACGATGGTATTGTGAGCACGCCTGTGGCGCTATTGTTACTTGCACTTTATGCCTCGATGTATCACTCCCACAATTTTATTATATTTTGCAAAATTATTTGTAGGAATGAAGTTTGTTCTAAAATGATGGATGTTCTTAATATTCGTCCAGGGATTTTATTGTACCTACATGAGTGAGAAGTTATTCGACTCTGGGGAATGAATTTTATTCACTTCTCATTACGATGTTGATTTAACAGACCAACAGTATATAACCACTATATAAAGTAATTTTATTATAGGGTTTTAGCTTGGGAATAAAGGAAAGTTTAAATCAACTTATGTAAACAAACCTAAAAACATATTTTATAAGACCTAGCCAGATGGAAAGATTTTTGAATTTGAATACCATCTCAAAATGATAAAATCCAGTTAATGCTTTTCAAAACGAAGATTAGGTGAATTTTAGGTTTTTCGTAAACCTCACTTACTCGAGACAGCAGTGAAATACATACATTGCACTTAACAGCTAATCTATTTCAGAGATTTCTCTCATGCATGCTATTTATAATTATTATATACAACTATTACGATTTCTCATATATGACTTTTAATTGTTTACAATTTTGAAAAAAAAAGGATAACAAAAAATGGGACATCAGACATGAATTGCTTCTCGGAGGCGACGCCGAGTCTATTAAAATCACTTTAGCGCCTTGTTCTTCTTCAATGGATGATTGAAAGCCTCCAAACAATTCATTCTTCCCAGTGTCTCAATGGCCTGGCCCACATTCCTTGTGTAATCTTTTTACAGCACAATGGATATGACAATAGTGAGCCCTTCACTATTGAAGAGCAAATAAAATACTGACTCTGTTCTAAATTAAGGTAACCTTTTTTCAGTTGTTCACTGAAGGTAATGCCGCCTAGTGTGCAGGTTCCAATGTCTGCTAGTTGAGTTTTAACAAATAAATACACTGGAATACAAATCTTAAACCATCAACTTTAGATTTATTTCTGTTTTCAATGTATAATCGCGAGTTTGTTGTAGGTATTCCTATTAGCTATGGTCTTTTGTGTTAATCTAAATATAGTAAAGGTTTTTTATTTTATTTCAAAGACCATAATAAATCTTTTAGTAAATGAACCTGACCACATGGGCTTCTATTGCCTTACAGAAAACTTGTGTAAAGAAATTCTTGCGTAGCTTCTCAACAAGTGATTAAGCTTGCCGGAGTACGGTAACGTACTTGTGTCTCTTAAGATCCAGGTGTCCATGGGCGGTGGTAATCGCTTACCATTAGGTGATCCCCCTGTAAGCTTAGGCGCTATTCCATAAAAGCAATATTTATTGTTGATTTAATTGCCCTGATTACCTGCAATAATATTTGTATCTCACTTTCAGCAGTAACAATATTAGTTCAATTACGGATAACAGGCAAAATTACTTCTTGCTACTTATTTTTACGAGAGCTTAAAGCAATTATAAATACGTGTTTTTATAGTTTATTACACTTTAAGATGATATTTATAGTACAATCATCGGTTTCGATCTATGTAAATATTTAACATTAATGTGGAAGTGGTTTACATTACTTGTAACAGCACAACAAGAAATTTAAAATTAAATTTAATGGTAAGTATTGTAGTTTTATGACTTTTATTTTATTAAAACTTATAGATAAGCTCAAAATATATATAACAAAGAGTTAAGTATTTGGAAATAGTAATAAATATACTATAATAAATTTTAAAAACTTCAATAGATGAACTAATATAATGTTTTACATATCTTGATTAGAATATTTAATTTAATGGCACGTGTACAGGTCTACGGTTTGAGTATACCTTTAAAAGAACATTCCAGGTAACAACCCAAAAAAATGATCAACAACGGGGAGTGAGGGGTCTTAGCCCATTTTTTTGGTAACTGTGCGCCCATATAACGCGGAGCATCGGTCCGTAGAGCCCATTCACTAGCTTAGTGCCGAGAAAGTCAAAGCTCCCAAACGGCCTCTTAAATTTTACCTGTTGCGTGTAGACGACTAGTACTTTATTAATTATAAACTAATACGATGCTTCAACGAATACAATACAAGCCATCTAATTATCAAATCGCTTATATAAAAAGCGATACGCCAAAAATGGTGCCGATTGCCCCGGCTCCAGACAGAAAATATTTAACCTTGGATGTACAAGTTGATAAGAAGAAATACAATTACAAAAATAACCTACACTCCGGTTCTCAAGTGGCTTCAATTGCAAGGAGGAATGCCCGTGAAAGAAATCGTGTGAAGCAAGTGAACGACGGATTCAATGCTCTGAGGAAACGTTTGCCAGCCGCTGTCATTGGGGCGTTATCTGGCGGTGCGCGTCGTGGATCCGGGAAGAAACTCAGTAAAGTTGATACACTCAGGATGGTAGTGGAATACATAAAATATTTGCAGAACTTGATCAATGAAAGCGATGCTACCCTTGGAATTACTAGACCTGTTCAATCTCAAATGGCGTGTGAAGGTGACGAAGGTATCTTTGGTGACAGTTCTCCGTACACAGAATCAGTGCCCTCGCCCGGTGATTCAGATTGTTCTTCTGGAGTATCTTCGGCGTATTCAAGTAGTAATTGTCCAAATAACTATAAAACACATGAACAACAAGTAAGTCAAGTGGATGAAGATGGGTTACTAGATGCTGTTGCCTGGTGGTAATAACATAGACATATACATTCTCTCTAAAAATCCTTAAATAGCTAGTCATTAGTAAATATATTTTGATAAATTATTTGAATGATGTAAACGAGGTTGTGTTTTGTAAATTTGTTAAATATTGTAATCTATTCTTGTGGCTGTGACTTTATATATTGTAAGAAAAATGTGAAGAAGTAATAGAATATATTGTAAATATACAATTTTGTGAAAAAAATATTACTAATATAAAAATAAAGTTTATGATTTAAATATAAAAAAAAACTATTTTAATCATTTATTCTTTTTCAATGGTGAAGTAGCTTATTTGAATATAAGATAGAAGAACTTGGAGAAAAGACTAGAAATACTTTGACGGAGCGATCCTGACTGATAACAAACCCACCACCTCTGGTGCATTGGCAGACTCAATGCGTAAGGCATTCTATACAAGTCAATAATTGGGTGATGCAAAGAAAACATTAAGTATGTAGTAAATTTTAAAACAAAAAATCATATATATATACAGACACAAACCGACACATGCTACACCTATACATATTACACATAAATACATACATTACGATACATAAATACAGTACATAAACATATATAAATACGTACGCAAACAGATACTAATATCTATATTTATATTAAAAAATCATGAGTAATTTTCATAAGCTTCATAGTCATAATCTTAAATTATTTTTTATTATTGTACCCAATCTTTATAAAGAGACAATATTGTATATTATCATATTTCTTAACTACTACAGGGCCGATATCGGTAATGATTTGGGCGACAATTATGATATTTTTACAAAATTTATATGCAGAAATAAGTGATAATAAAATAAAATAGTATAAATATTTACAGTTTTTTTAATATTATTATTATTTCTCTTTTCATAACTGGTACAATAGAAACTTCTCGACTCTATTGAAATATCTTCTTAATGTAAGTATCAAGTAAAGGTAGTTAGACGCCTGCAAAGTATTAACTTAAACAAAACCAATAAAGTGACTTTAGGTATGCCATATTCAACTTATAGTACGTTTGCTTTCGTTAAACGCTTCTTAAATAAATTGTATTTTGTTTTCTTTGATGGAAACCAACGTAAAATTAAGAAATAAAAACCCGAATTATATACTGCTACAGCCAATTTTATAATAGTTGTGAAATGATCACACACACACACACACACACACAGGGGGTTTTTCAGGGTTATAAAAAAACTTAACTATTTTAAATGAGAGCATTATAACTACACCAATTGATTTTGTTTTGTAAATTTAGTAAAAAGTTTCCGTAACAAAACAAGTCAATAAAGCTACCTTTATATCTAATGTAATCATGTAATGATTTTTTTTACTACAACATCACCCAACAAAACATCAGTCAGTAGTAGGAAAGAGACGTTGAATGAATGGATGTACCTAACTGTGTTAATAATATTATTCTACTTCCATACTTATATTAAAAATATGTAACCTAAACCATTAATGCCACTTTTTAAATTCTTTCAGCAATGGAAGGCCACATTACTAGCTTCTCTCTCTGGACCGTATCTAACAAAGAGCGACTTGAATTTTTCGATAGCCATAATATTTTCGACCGGCTTGATCCTTAGGCATTACGCAGAGATGTAGCATCACTCTGCATTCTCTATCGTATATATCATGGGAAGTGCTCCAAATAATTTTTCGGACTAATACCGGCCGCAACTTTCCACCATCGTTCCACACAAAAAAAAATCTGAAAAATTTACATCCTCACCACTTGGATAATTGACACTCCACCACTGTGCGCTATTCAAGACACTTTTTGTCTCACACCACATATCTGTGAAACAAGTTATCATCTTCGGTATTTTCGGACCGATACGTCTAAGAAAAGGACGTACTCCTTCCTTAAAGGCCGGCAACGCGCTTGTGACTCCTGAGTTGCAGGCACTCATGGGCGGCGGTAGTCGCTTTCCATCAGGTGACCCGTCTACTCGTTTGTTCTTTCTGCCCGTTTACTCTTTCATACAAAAAAAACATGAGCGAGTAACATAGGCTATTTTTACCGAAAACCGACATACACGCGGGTCAAAGCGGCGGCAGCTTAGTGGTTAAGGCATTGGGCTTGCAATCAAGATCAAGTGTAGGTTCGATTCCTGACTAGTACACTACCGACGTTAACCCACTCCTAACACAAGTAATTTAGCTTAGCTGGAGGGGTAATGGGAATACTAGTAATTACGGTTGCTAGTGAACCAGATAGGTGACAGATTAAGAATACGGAGTGTCACCACCCCCATTCATCCCGTGAGTGTAGTAAGAGCCGACATTCGGGAACAAACTATGCAAGACGACAGGACTGCAAAGAGAAGGGAAACATGGTACTATAGTAGGCCAAAACCTCTTTTCTAAGGAGAGATTTATGTTGGGGATGGGTTATATTAAAGGTTGTAAATGATGATGATGAAGAATAAGTATAGCGTCTCGAACGAATTCGACCGTTTTAATGGTTTTTTTTATCACGTAACGAATTTGTAAGTTACCTCTGGGTACGTCATCTGAGAACTACAGCAAAAATCGTATGTCCTTGTTTTTCTTATATATTTCAAGAAATGAAACGGGATACGATATATATTATACAATCTAGAGATAACATGCAATATAATGATATCTTTGTAGATTAAAAAGAGTGTAGTGATGCTGCAAGCACGTCCCTTGATTAAGCCATCGAAGCTCGTTCACCGCTTCGGTACATTGTTATACAAGATTAATGATGTTCACCAAGATAAGGAGGTGGGAGCTAAATGCATTTACATGTGCGAATAAAAAGACACTGATAAAGGGACAAAGAAGTTCGGAGTGAATAAAAATGGTACAATTTATATTTGACACAGGGTGCATTAGTTCGGACAGCAAGTTGTGAACTGTTACAATTACACAATCGAAATTTCTGGTTATTTTACTCCCATAATATTTTCACAGTCTTTGTCATCAACTCTGATTATAAATATAATAAGTAAATTCAAATTATAAACAAGGATTAAAGTTGTCAAATAATTATTTCGCATTTATATTAGAATAAACACTATTTTAAATAATAGGTGAGTACCTCTATAGATCAATTTCAAAGAGTGAAGTTCGCGTCCTCGTTAGGTACATCAGGTTCAGTCTTTTTTACCTACTATCTTCATTGTGAATTTCGCAATAAAAAGGGTAGGCCATTTGACATGTACAAATTATACACTTAATTACTACACGTTTAATTAGGCAAATAGATAATTTATTGCATTGCAATGTGATGTAAACAGTTTAAGGATACTATGGCTATGATTTTACCTTTGCAATTAGTTAACCTCCCGGTTAACTCATTGCAAAGTTAAGCAATAATAGCCAGGTCAGTCTATAGATGGGTGACCATTTATTAACTTAGAGAGACCCCTCTGTGCCTCGGAGAGCAGGTTAAGCCATCGGTCCCGGTTAAAATACTAACATCTGTGGCAATCGTTACGGGTAAAAAAGAAAAAAATAAAATAAAATCCGACAACAGTCTTCTTACAGAACTTCGATATTACTACGACTATTTAGGTTGGAGATGCCTGATGGCAGTCGCTCGGCATAAAAAATCGATGATCTACTATATACTAAGACTAAAAGCCGGCCCAACCTAGTTTGGAATAAAAGGTTCGGAGGAAGATTAAGATATATATATATCTGGATATCAGCATCAGGCTGCTGGACACTGGACACCATAGGACAGGCTCTGCCTAATTTTGTAACAGCCAGCCGAGTGCAAAATTTCTGAAGTTATTATTATTGTCATATTAAACTTTTGTTTCAACTATTTAAGCCAAAATACAAAACCGATAACTACCTTCACATAAATTTATATTGATTAAAGTTATTAAATAGGACTTTGCTTAGTTGTGTAAACGAAATTTATTAGAAAATAGCCGGCCTAAGGTATCTGCAAAGGTTTTCTATATCTCATGTTGTTGCCAACATAAATTGACATTAGTCTTAATAAAACTTTTAATAGCTCACGTGTCCTTACGTCCGTGTGTAAAACAAACAGATTTATACGTATTCGCAGATTGTGGTTTACGATTATGGAAAATACTGATAGAAGAGGAAGCTATCGAGTAATTAAATTAATACCAAGAAGTGCAGACCTTAACTTGCGTAATTGCGATTAATATTTTAAAGACGACACGTGGGATAACGATTACGATAGCAATTACAAAAAATATTTCGTGTTCCTTCTTTCAGATCAAAAGCTTAGTTAGTTAAAAATCTGAGGTTTACTTTACGTAGCTTTTATTTGCTTCCGTTTTGTATAAAAATTTGCTACAAAGGAATCAAATACTTTTGCATTATTCCGGAAACTATTAAAGCAATTCATGCCGGATTTGGATTCTTAATCTTATTACTTGAGGCACGTGAGCGTATGGGGTTCGTGATATTTGCAAAAATACAACGATAAGGGAGAGTGAATATTGAATGCCTTTTGTAAATTAGATTATAGAATTGTTTGGTTACCGTGGAAATAGGTTACGTAGTATTACGAAACAGTTGTTTTATAGACATAAAGTATTTTATTTTGGTCATTACCTTACATTTTCTGTCGGTGTCACAACATTATCATTAAAGTTAAAGACATGATATAAGATGATGGTACTCATCTACAAACATGCACATCTCTATTTTCTTATGCAAATAATACAAAGATACAGATTATAAATGCAATATAAAGAGTTTTGTTTTTGAAATAACCCAAAATCAACAATTTTGGTTTTATATTATGTAAACTCGCTTTAGTATAATTATCTTCCCAAATCTTTGTAGCTATGTTTTGAAGATATAATCGTTTTTTCTATTATGTTGTTTCAATTGTTCGTAATTCGCTCAACTTGCGTTGTAGGCAGTCATTGTTAAAGTTCAATTATCTCTTTTAGAAAATTCAATAGATTCGTTCATTTGTTATAATTTAATGAATCTCTCACTTTCACAATTTTTTAGTTTCA